GCGGCGCCCGCCGTGCGCGGGGCCCGTCCGCGGCCGCCGCCGTCGCGCTCCCGCCCCGCGGGGTGCGCGGTGCTGTTCCCGGGGCCTGCGCCACTCCGCCGCTCCCAGGGAGGCACTCGCTAGGCTCTGCGCGCAAAGAAAAACTTGGACGAGCCTTTCGTTGGGAGTGCGTCGTCGAAAGTGCCGTGGCCGTGGCCACCGTGCATGGGCTGCGGGTCGGGAGCCTCGTGGATGTCTACGAGGGTCTCTCGAGATGCCTCGCGGGCCTCTTGGAGGGCTCTCTGGGAGCATGTGTTTTTTCCCCAACCATCCTGTGGTGTTGGGTCCTCGTTTCGAAGAGACGGTCCCCGCGTTTTCCTCCTTCCTCCCTCCTCTTCCCCTCTCCTCCCTCCTCCCCCTCCTCCTTCCTCTCTGCGTTTCACCCACCCAGCACATCGTTTCGTGACCCCATAGGGAGCTCCACCGAAGGCCCCAGTGGCAGGGTTCGCATGGCGGCCTCGGGCCATTTCTGCACACCACTCACGAGGATCGTGGCCCCATACAAGCTCCACCGAAGGCGCCAGTGGCAGGGTTCGCATGGCGGCCTCGGGCAGTTTCGGCACACCCCTCACGATGATCGTGGCCCCATACAAGCTCCACCGAAGGCGCCCGTGGCAGGGCGGTCTCGGGCCATTTCGGCACACGCCTCCCGAGGATCGTGGCCCCATAGGGAGCTCCACCGAAGGCGCCAGTGGCAGGGTTCGCATGGCGGCCTCGGGCCGTTTCGGCGCACCCCTCACGAGGATCGTGGCCCCATATAAACTCCACCGAAGGCGCCAGTGGCAGGGTTCGCATGGCGGTCTCGGGCCATTTCGGCACACGCCTCACGAGGATCGTGGCCCCATAGGGAGCTCCACCGAAGGCGCCAGTGGCAGGGTTCGCATGGCGGCCTCGGGCCGTTTCGGCACACCCCTAACGAAAATCGTGGCCCCATAGGGAGCTCCACCGAAGGCGCCAGTGGCAGGGTTCGCATGGCGGCCTCGGGCCATTTCGGCACACGCCTCACGAGGATCGTGGCCCCATAGGGAGCTCCACCGAAGGCGCCAGTGGTAGGGTTCGCATGGCGGCCTCGGGCCATTTCGACACCCCTCACGAGGATCGTGGCCCCAAAGGGAGCTCCAAAGAACGCCCCAGTGGCAGGGTTCGCATGGCGGCCTCGGGCCGTTTCGGCACACGGCTCACGAGGATCGTGGCTCCATACAAGCTCCACCGAAGGCGCCCGTGGCAGGGTTCGCATGGCGGCCTCGGGCCATTTCGGCACACCCCTCACGAGGATCATGGCCTCATAGGGAACTCCACCGAAGGACCCAGCGGCAGGGTTCGCATGGCGGCCTCGGGCCATTTCGGCACACGCCTCGCGAGGATCGTGGCCCCATAGAAGCTCCACCGACGGCGCCAGTGGCAGGGTTCGCACGGCGTCCTCGGGCCATGTCGGCACACCCCTCACGAGGATCGTGGTCCCATAGGGAGCTCCACCGAGGGCGCTAGTGGCAGGGTTCGCATGGCGGCCTCGGGCAATTTCTGCACACCACTCACGAGGATCGTGGCCCCATACAAGCTCCACCGAAGGCGCCAGTGGCAGGGTTCGCATGGCGGCCTCGGGCAGTTTCGGCACACCCCTCACGATGATCGTGGCCCCATACAAGCTCCACCGAAGGCGCCAGTGGCAGGGTTCGCATGGCGGCCTCGGGCCATTTCGGCACACCCCTCACGAGGATCGTGGCCCCATAATTGTGTTGCTTCAACAACCACGCCTGGGCGTCGTACTCCGCCTTGTCGACGTGCAACGCCACCTCCTCCCTCATGGCTCTCAGAGCCCTCTCCTGCTTCTGCTCCTCGGTCGGAGGGACGCCGTCCTCGTCGTAGTCGCCGGCGTCCGCGACGACGGCCGCGAACGTGGCTCTAAGCATGTCGGGCTCCAGCGAGAAGCCGTGGCCACATAGGGAGCGCGGGCGAAGATGGTGCTCACAATTGCGGCATTCACAACTGCATATGGCTGGGTCCCTCGCCAGGCTAGTTTTGTGGCTTCTGGGGGGCCTCATGGGGGCCCCTTGGAGGCCTCTTCGGGGTCTCTTCGGAGGCCGCCTCGGAGACCTGGGGCGCTGTCGGGGCTCTCGCCGTCGCGCTCCCGCGTTGCGGAGCGCACAATGTTTTTTTGGCATCTTCGGGGGATCTCTTCTGTCCTGTAGATGGCAGTGTTCTCTTGTACTCCAGCGCGGATCTGGCGTGAACTCGACGTGGATCCGACATGGATGTGACACGGATTTGGCGCGGAGGCGACACGGATTCGACGTGCGCGAGACGGATTCGACATGGATGCGACACGGGTGGTTGTGGGACAGACGAGGCCCCCCAGGAAAGCAACGCAACATCGCGGGCGCTTGTGACAATTTCGGCCGACCCGGGTCAGATCGGAGCTGCCGCAGTCGGCGTTTCGGGGGGAAGCGCCGACTCTGGCTACGGTCGGACCGAGGTATACGATCGAGGTCGGCTCGGGGAGGGTGCCCTAATGTTCCTCGTGTTTGTTGGATGTTCTTGTGCATCTTGGGGGAGGTTACCCTTGGACATTCAATGCTTTTTGGCCTGCGGAGGGTCCCATACTCTTGAAGGATGCTCTTCTGTCCTAAGTCCGACCGTAAGTTCTCGGTTTCCTCGAGGTGTCTGATGGTGCGTTTCCTTTATGCATGCTCGTCGCCCTTTCGTTATATTATCATGTTTATCAACAGTGGGACGTTCTAGTTCCGTTCCAGTTTCGTTCCTCTTTCGGTCCAGTTTCGTTCTGCTTTCGCATCAATGCCTGTTCAGTTTTGTCCCAGAGCAGAGCGTCCCAGAAAGAAGCTGGAACGAGATTGGAACGAAAATCAAGAGCGCGATCGTTAATGAATGGCCCCGTGACCTTGCACCTGTCTCTGGTGGCTCAGAATCGGCCAATGCAGAACGAGCTGGTCGAAAAGCAGCCGATCGTTCAAGTTTGAGCGATCCACGCGGTGTCAGAAACCGAGGTCGAAGTCGTCACGACACGAACCTGGCGTATACCGCCAATCCACTGGGCCATATATGGTACGTTACGTGTGCCATCATCAGCGAAACAGTGGGACTTTCAATGTTCGCCCGCACCGGCGTGCAAGGATGAGGGAGCCTTGGTGCTTCACCCGACGTACACAGGGTCATGCCTACCCTCAAGGGCATCGGCGCTACACCACAGTCCCGCGCGCGCGCGGGAGCGCACAGGGTGTTCTTCCCACACGTCAGAAGCCTGGGGGCCGTCTTCGGCCCCCAAGGGTATCAGGAATGGATCAAGGTCGAAGCGCTCTGGCGACGCTGAGCCCAGAAGGAGCAAGTCCAGTCCGAACCACGGTTCTCAATCTGGTGGTCCTCCAATTGGACTTAGCCTTGTGTGGGACGATGTGAAGTCCAGCTGGAGCAAGTCCAGTTGGAGCCAAGTCCTCGCTGATTCATGAGCTCCCATTTGTGCAATCTGTTGCATTCGCACTTTGCCTCACTGCGCATTTGTGTATAGTTTGCGTGTACCGCGCGATAGCCATTTGGTCCCATGCCTGACGACAGGGGCTTAGTGCCCCCGAAACACGTCGCATTCACTAGACGGCGTCTTGAGCTGAGCACTGCATACAAAGCTTGGCGCTTCACCATCTGGGACTCCATCTGAATCCCACCTCTCCCGAGACGCTGCCCCTGGGGAAGGCGTCGAGACCTCTTGGGAGGAGGGGAACCTCTTTGGCCGTCGCCGCTCGTGGAAAAAGAACGCGGTGAAAAACACCCACACATACACACAAACACACAAACACACAAACACACACATATTCACACACACACACACGCACACACACACACACACACGCACACGCACACGCACACGCACACGCACACGCACACGCACACGCACACGCACACGCACACGCACACGCACACGCACACGCACACGCACACGCACACGCACACGCACACGCACACGCACACGCACACGCACACGCACACGCACACGCACACGCACACGCACACGCTCACGCACACGCACACGCACACGCACACGCACACGCACACGCACACGCACACGCACACGCACACGCACACGCACACGCACACGCACACGCACACGCACACGCACACGCACACGCACACGCACACGCACACGCACACGCACACGCACACGCACACGCACACGCACACGCACACGCACACGCACACGCACACGCACACGCACACGCACACGCACACGCACACGCACACGCACACGCACACGCACACGCACACGCACACTCACACGCACACGCACACGCACACGCACACGCACACGCACACGCACACGCACACGCACACGCACACGCACACGCACACGCACACGCACACGCACACGCACACGCACACGCACACGCACACGCACACGCACACGCACACGCACACGCACACGCACACGCACACGCACACGCACACGCACACGCACACGCACACGCCCACGCACACGCACACGCACACGCACACGCACACGCACACGCACACGCACACGCACACCACACGCGCACGCACACGCACACGCACACGCACACGCACACGCACACGCACACGACACGCCACACGCACACGCACACGCACACGCACACGCACACGCACACGCACACGCACACGCACCACGCACACGCACCCGGCACACGCACACACGCGCACGCACGCGCACGCGCACGCGCACGCGCACGCACACGCGCACACGCACGCTTTCACGCACACGCGCACTATCACGCACACGCACACGCACACGCACACGCACACGCACACGCACACGCACACGCACACGCACACGCACACGCACACGCACACGCACACGCTCACGCCCACGCACACGCACACGCACACGCACACGCACACGCACACGCACACGCACACGCACACGCACACGCACACGCACACGCACACGCACGCGCACACGCACACGCACACGCACACGA